GGAGTGGGCCTGGCTGCTCACCTGAGTTCCCTCAAGCTGGCAGGGAGGGCTGCACTGCTGGGTCCAGGGAGAACCAAAAGGAGAGGAAGTTGGCCTGGGTCCTGGGGGAACCCCAGGTTCGCCCAGAAGGGAGCTGGCGCAGGGCAGCTGGGCCTGTAACTCGGGGTTATCAGCGAGGGGCTGTGGGAGGCTCAGAGCTGGGCAGCAGAGGGAAGGGAGTCGCTGGGTGGGGAGGCCCCTCTGCACCCTCCTGGATTCTATTTTTTTTTGGAAGGGGAGGTAACAAGGTTCATTTATTTATTTTTAATAGAGGTACTGGGGACTGAACCCAGGACCTAGTGCATACTTAGCACGTGCTCTACCAGTGAGCTATACCCTCCCCCACCTCCTGGATTCTAAGGGGCTGGGCTTCCAGGCAGACGGCACAGAGACGCACAAGACAGAGGCAGCGCCTGCTGGCAGAGCCCTTCCCGCCCTCTCTGGTGGGTGGCTGCTCAGATGTCACCAGTGACAGGGGATTCACTACCTAACAAGGCTTTTTTTTTTTTAACCACCACTATTTGAGAATAGTTCTAGAATGTTCATTTCCTTGATCCCTCTAGTGTTGCCTAGGACTCTGCTCTCTCTGATTTGCAAACAGCTGCCTGACTCAGCTCTTCTTACCCGCAAATCCCTCCACCTCCTTTCCCTGGGCTCTGCCTCTTCTGTTCCTTCACGGGCTCGTCTTCCTCAAGGTCCCTTGGAGGTGTGCTCTGGGGCTCCGCCATGGGCCCTCTCTGCTGGCTCCACACTCATCAGAATGGTGGCTGCACTGTCACTACTGACACCTCTAAAACCCTCTCCTGATCCCATTTCACCCTGCAGCTCCGGCCCCATCTCCCCTCTGCCACTAAAGGGCCATCATCTGTCCCTCGTGGCTTCTGTTTCTCTTCTCTCAATTCTCTCCTGAGCCCACGATTCTACTTAGGTCCCCTCCTCTCCCTGAAACTGCTCTTGACCATGCTGCCCCTGGACCTCTGGATTGCTCTCCACCCTCGACTCCCACCACCGGTCCCATCTCAGGACTGCACCTGACTTCACAGCAGCACGGGGCACAGGTGATCACTCTCCTTCAGCGGTTTCTCACTTGGCTTCTGGGACATGACACCCTCTAGGTGTGCCACTTTTCCCTCCTCATCTCTAACTTCTGGAGGGCCCCAGGGCTCACCCCTGGACTCCTTGTGACTGTCCATCCTCAACCCCACTGTGATCCAGTTTCATGACTCAAACACATAAATTACAGAATGGCTCCCGATTGCACATTTCCAGTGGGACTCTCTCTGATTTGTAGATCTAACTGCCTACCCAATCTGTCCGCTTGGGTGTCAAATTTGCCCACCACTCAGATCCTCCCTCCCTTTCCCCCTCTAGCTGCTTGGGACAAAATCTTGATGTCATCCTTTATCTCTCTTTTCCATAACCCACACTCACTATCAGCAATCCTGTTGGCCCTACTTTCAAAATAGGTCCAGGGCCCCAGGGCCTTTGCACTGACTGACTCTTCTCCCTAGATGTCTCAACCTGGATTTCTACATAGCTCATACCCTCTCTTCATTCAGGCTTAACTCCTCGTGGTCTATCTAAAACTGTCCTCTTGACAGATGGTCCTATCTCTGTTGTATTTGTCTCCACAGCAATTGTCACTATTGAGTATGATATTATTCTTATTTATCGGTCTTCCTTAGTAGAATATAAACACCACATGGTATAGATTTTTTTTATTCCATATTCCCAGGTCTTGGGTGGCAGAGTAGGCATTCAATTTTTTGGTGTACAAATGAATGAACTCAAAGGATTGTGAGCCTAAAGGGCTAGACAAACAAGACCGATGTTATAGATACTGACAGCCAGAAGAGGGCAGCAAAGAGCCACCCAGTGTGGATGAAAGGTGTGGGGCCAGTAGAACCTGAGCACATGCTGTGTGATCTCCATTGAATTCCTTAACCTCTCTGAACCAGTTTCCTCCTGTAAGACTGGTTATTAGAGGAGATCAAATGTGCTGGTATGGGAAGATTTGGTAATTGGCAAATCATAAGCATAATCTGGATGTTAGGTGTCCACGGTGTGAAGAGTTGGTTGCCCCAGTGTCCACTGTTGGCGACAGGGCCCTTACATAACTATGATGCACCCTGATGAGGGAGCATTATAAAGTGCTTTAAAGACATGGGAAAATGCTTATGCTTTAAGTGTATGTGTATGTAAATTTACGGAAAGAACAAGACACAAAATTAATAAGCTTGGGGAAAAATCTGGAAGAAATGTATCATCATAAAGATCAACAGTCATCTGGGTAAATTTCTGTATTTTCCGAATTTCCACCATGGGCATGTATTTGCCTTTCCCAACCTACTAGGATGTTCTGCAGCTGTTACTACACCAGCTACCTGGGCAGAGGGCCTCTCCTTCCTTAGTCATCACTGATTCTTCTCAGCACTTCCTGAATGGCCCCCTTTGCTGTCCTGGGTTTGCATGCTCTCGGGCCCCTCTGGGTTTGGGGAGAGATTCACCTCGACTTGGTGCTGCTGAGGGCACAGAGAGAGGTGTCAGGCTCACCCGGAGCCCCTTCCACTTGCCTGCCAGTTCCCCAGGGCTTTAAGGACAGAGACTGGTCCCAGCCACCTGCCTCTCTGGCCCCTGGCCCAGTTTCCCTAATTTATCTCAGAGCTGCTGCAGGCAGGTGGGTGATGGGGGAGCAGCCTGGCCAGGTGGCAAGGCGGAACCGATGGTGTGCACCTCTCCCAGGCCTCACTCGCTCAGGCCTCCAGGGTTGAGCCTGGTTTACTTGGCTCCTTGAAGCCAGGCCTGAGCTCACTCTAGTACAAGTCAGGGGCCTGGCCCCACCATCCCTCTGCAGCCCCAGGCCCTCAGCAGGTTCTTTATCTAGCCAGTGCGCCCAACCCCCAGAGATCCCGTGAAGGCCCGGGCCCACAGCTGCTCTGACCTGGAGCTTGGAATCCTACCCACTATCCTCCAAGGCTCGGTCCAAGTCTGTCTTCATCCCCAGCCAGGCGCCCACCCACCACTCAGCATGAGCAGGAAGGGACTGCTACTACTAGACACCAGTGGGGAAACTGAGGCCCTGAGAGTAGATGTGATGTACCCAGTTGGGACACCAAAAGGCCTTGTGGGGTCATCTCGTGACCCACACAAAACTGGCCCAGGAATAGCTGTACCCTTGCCTCATTTTTGGCCGGCCCACAGTTTCCAGGCTGAACTGTGAAAGCACCAGATTTAATGACCAATTCACCTTCGAAGCATAGTTTCTTCTTTAGAATTCACCTTCTTGAGATGGCTCTGTTAAGAAAGACTTCTATGGGAGCCTTCTATAAATGACCTAGAAAATCTCAGCCATTCTTCGTTAACAGGGTCCCTCCCTTGCCCTCCCCAGGGAAGTCCCCGTTCTTCACGACCCTCCCTCTCCAGCACCCTCCTCCCCCATGCTGCCTTCGCCTCTCCACCACCTCCTTCTTCCCTCCCACTGACGCAGCTTTCCAAGCAATGGTCTGCATATGTGTAAACCCTCCACAGTGGGTTGCAGGGATGGGATTCCTAGAGGTTCAAGGCCCCAGAGGAGCCTCAACAGAGAGGAACAAGGGGCATTTCTTCAACCACCGGAATGGACAGCTGGATGTCTTGTGGGTACCAACTGGACAGGTGACATTCAAGACTCGGTGGGCTCCCTCCCCCTAATCCTGGAATCCTTCCGGAACTTGGAGACAAGTCTGGGGAAAAGGTACATCCTAAATGGACTCAGATTAACTTTCTGCCATTATGTAATGGGGGCTTTGGGTAGAAATCTAGTTCAATTTTGGGAGAATTTAAAAAAAAAAGAAAGTTTACATGTCTTGCACTTCTGAATTTGTAGACTAAAATCCATCCCATATTTTTAGAAGATGAAAGAAAAATGAGAAAGTCTCCATGCTCTCACTGTGCCCAGGGTAAGGCCTGCCTCTTTGCCATGGCATGCCACACTGGCTCCATCCCCTGCCGGTGCCCCAGCCATGTCCCCCGGACACGCCCTCACTTAGGCTGTACCTTGTCAGCACCACACCATCCTGCTCACCTCCAAGGCCCAGCTTAATGTCACCTCTTCCAGGAAGCCCTCCTGAAGCTCAGGAATAACAGTAACCATCCCACGCCCCCCCGACTGGCTGAGCCCTTCCCATTGCAGCTGGTCCAGGGCCGAGGGCTTTACAAACGTCTCTTAAGTATCAGCAGGGAGAAAACCGTCTTACAGTGCCCACCATTCATCTAGTTCAGATCACCTTGGGAGGCAGATATGCCATCTCCATCTTACTGATAAGGAAGTGGAGGCTCAGGGTGTGAAATCATGAGCCCAGAGTCACATGGTCAGTAAGAGGGGTCAGGGACTTGAACATGGCTCTGAGCACCAACCTGTGCTTTCCCATGGCCCACACACCACCTCAGCTGACAGTCCCAAAGCAGATAATCTACCAACGTGCTACACACGCAGAGCACCTGCCTCCGGTACAGCATTCCACCTTCCCCACTGACCTGGCCTCCTGCTCCAGTTCACCTCGGAACCCCAAGAGCTGGCCCGCAGCAGGCTTTGGCGACTGTCTCTTGGATGGTTTGGGAACAGCCCTTTCTGGGGCAGAACAGCATCCAGTGACCTCTGGTGAACCCTCAGAGGCTCCTGTGAGTCTGGACACCTTCCCAGCCCAGAGCAACAAGTGGCATGAGTCAGCACAGTGCTGGCCTGCCAGCCCGTCTGCCCCTCCAGGCTGACACTGCCTGGGATGCCAATGCCTGGAAAGGTGCTGGCAGTTCCATCCCTGAGGGCTGGGGCCAAAAGCACTTTCCCATCTCCTCTTCCAGGCAGCCTGCCACAGAGAAATGGGGGCAGGCGGCCACCACAGCGGTGATGCTGAGATTTCAAAAGCTGCTCAGACAGGAAGCTGAGCTGCCGACCCCCAAGCTGGAGGGCAAATCGTGGTCAGTGGAAGAGGTCACCCCATAAGGGGGGTGAAGGCTGCCTCTCCGCCCCCTCAGTGTTTCTCCCCAAAGCCTGACACCCCCCTATTCGGTGGCTGCTCTGAATTACAAGCAGCCCGCCTGTGATCAGTGGGCCTCCCTGTCTCCCATGGGAGACAGGGAGTCAGGCCTGGAGCGAACGGCTCCTTCATTACAGTCTGGGCGTCCCAGGCAGGTTACTAAAGTTCTCTCGGCCTGTTTGTCTGGAAAAAGGTGACTGACCGTGCAAAGAGCTGAACTCACAGCCCCAGTACACATCAGGTGTCATACGTGATTTTTTCTTTCTTGCTTTTCAAACTCATTAAAAAATGGGGACGCCCCTGGCAGACCTGTATTTTCAGGCCTCCATGAGGCCCTTTGCTCTGAGGAGTGGCCGGGAAGCACAGTGGGGGCAGGAGGAGGCTGACAGACTGCCTCGCCGTGTTTCCACTCTCCATCAGCAGAGGGAGGCCCGGCCACTCCTCCTGCTGCCCACACGAGCACCTACTTGGGCGGACACCGAAGTCGGGGCAGGCAGTGGCTTGAAGCCGACTCAGTGGTCACAGTGCTGATGGGGTGACGGGGCCCGTGATGCAGGCAGGGCAGGCCATGGGCCACAGGCCGGCCACCACGTCCTGGAGCAAGGCAGGTCCACAGAGGGCTGAGCAGCCTGTCACAGAGCTGGGATGGGCCCGGAGCTCCCATGGCCAATGAGAAGGGAGTCCACAGGCCTGTGATGTTCTCATGAGCATCTGAGCCTTGTCTCCCTGTCCTGTCCTGCAGTCCCAGCTTGCTTCCCAGGGAGGCACTCACTCCTACTGTGGTCGTCCAAGCCCGGCAGCCCCAGACCCACCTCTCCATGGCGTGCAGTGCGGATCCTGGGGCCGCAGCTACTCCAGATCATGGGTCCTGAGGCTGGACAGGCCACCTGCTAGCCGTGTGACGTGGGCACATCACTGAAACTCGAGCCTCAGTTTCCCCCTGTAAGTTGGGCTCCCGTGCCTAGCACAGGTCTGAGGCGTAAACGAGATGCCTCCTCTGTTCGTCACTGTAACCGGAGTACCTAGAACACTGCCTGGCCCTAGGCGGACCTCCGGAAATACGTGTAAAACGAATCCATGTGAAGCAGTCAGCACGGAGTTGGACACCCGTAATCTCTCGGCAAGGTTTCCGCCGGGGCCACCTCTGCTGCATTTTGCTGCTGTGACCTTCACCGTCTCTACCTTACTAACGTCATCTCGTTGCTTTCGCACCTCTGAGAGTTCTGGAAAAACACCTCTGGTGTAGGCTTGGACCCTGCTGCTTACCCAGCTGACCCCCTGCCTCTCCTCCCCGCTGTCCGCGTCGGCTCTCCCCCGAGGCCCGATCAGAGCAGTCCTCAGCGGGAAGCCCTCCCCAAGCACCCCTCCACCTGCTCCTCCTCCCTGGGGTCCCTGCGGCTGCCACATCACCACAGCCCCTCTCCAGTTCACCCCTTCCCCAGAAGCCCATCAGCCGGGCCTGGGCACAGGGATGAACAGCAGGGTCAGCGTGCTCAGAGTGAAATCGGATTCCAGTACTGCAGGCTTTCTCTGTTCCCAGCCCAGCCTCCCCGAGGGCACCAGGAGGGCAGCAGCTCCAAGTCAGGGGAGGGGGAAGGCAGCAGGTGAGGGGTCAATGTATACAGCCGCCTCCTTGGAGGCCCTGGCCAACCCTGACAGCTGACCAGGTGATTATGTCGCCCCCGCAGGGACAGCCTCTGCTCATTCAGGGTCTGGGAGGGCCAAGATGTAGCCCAGGGGGAGGATGGGGCGGGATGCCTTGAAAGGGGCCAGGAGAGGCATTTTCCCAAGTGCGTAAGCTCTTACCCACATTTGACCACCAAGCTCGCAGGATCCCACGCAGACACCCCACCCTCTGAGGTTAGGAACCCACCAGCCAGCAACCTCATCCACTCACCGAGGCCCCTTCATCAGGAAAAGTGGGGGACACTGACCCAGCCAGGCCCCTCCCTCCTGAACCTTGGGTGGGTGTAGCTAAAAAGCCGCCAGTGCCACCCCACTGACCCTTTTTCTCTCTCCCAGAATTTGGGGCCAGGTTCCAGCCTGGCCTTCCTCCTCCCTTCATGGGTCCCCTGGGCCAGGGCCCAGGTGAGGTGGGAGAACAGATGGGCAGGGGCCTGGTTCCACTCCAGGTCCCAGGAACCTGTGTCCCACAGCAAGCTCAGCTCCGGCCCCTGGCCCCCAGCACCATGGCCGTCTGTCTCCCCCTACTGCCAATCTCCGCCCTCTCCCCCACAGCCGGCCCCTCTTACCAGGCTTTGGGATGAGTCCTTGAAAAGGCCTGGAAGAGAAACAGAGATGGGAATGTCGGGAGAAGGCCTGGAAGCTTGTTAGGAATGTGTGGGGCCCACCCTAGACCCACTGCATCAGAATCTGCGTTTTAACAAGATGCCTGGTGATTCGTGTGCACAGGACACTGGGACGATGCGGCAGGGCCACTGTGCATGAGGGTGAGCGGGGTCTCTCACTGGCTCTGCGAGCTGGGGCACATCACTTGTCTCAATTTGCTCTGCTCTCACATGGGCCACACACCTCTCCCCGGGGGCTGGGAGTGCAGTGAGCAGGGCTGTGGCAGGCAGATGGGAGCCCGTGAAGGCTGCCCCCACTATGGTGGTTGGGGGCAGCCAATCTCACCTCGATGAGCTCCCTGCACCCCAGGGGGCCTGCAGCCCCTGCTCCAACCCCCAGGACCCAGGATGGTGCTGGGAGAGCCGCCTTGTACAGCCGAGAGGGCAGGACTGCCCGAAGGAAAGGACAAGGGTCCCCCCCCATGCTAGTCTGACTCCTCTCTCCTCTCCTTCCCCTGGGTACCTGGTGACGGTGAACTTGATCTTGTCAGCCACCGCAAGGATCCTCTCCAGGTTCTGAGAGCCAAAGGTGCACGGCTTTCGGAACGGGATTCCGGGGGGCAGGCCCTCGATGATCACTGAGCCGGGGTTACTCTTGATCCGCTTGTAGGGAACCTGGACCGGGTACTTGATGCCCAAGGCTTCCCCTGTGGACGACAGGGACAGAGGAAGTGTCGTCAGGAGCCAGAGGCTGTGCTGGAGTGTGCTCTGAAGCCGGGGGTGCTACATGCACGGGTGTGATACGCAGTGCACACGGGGGTACAGGAGGGCTGTCGTGTGGCGCTGCAGAAAGCACAATTCGTGGGGGACTGGGAGGCAGGCGGCGTGTTGTGCGGGGGCCTAGGGGGATGTGGTTCTGTGCTCAGGCGGGACTGAGGAGGGGCAGGAACAGGTGGCTCTGGCTGCTGGGGACAGGGCAGCGACTAATGTTTCTCAGCCTCACAGCTTGAGATTCTGAAAGCCATCTCGAGGATGGTACCTCACGGGCCCAACTGGCCCTTCCCCACAACACCTGACCCTCCATCAGCCCCATCAGTGGCTCTGTCTCACCCTGGCTCAGGACTGTCCTGGCTGGAGAGGGCAGACTGCATTTAAGAGCAAGGAAGCCAGGCTGGGGCCAGCCAGGGTGCAGCTTAGACCTCAGGGTCCTCTTTCCATGTCTGGAGCTTGGCCTCGTTCCTGTCACCAAACCTCTGCAGAGGGCTGTGGCATGTCTACTCCAGGGACTGGACTTCATCTCACAGCCTGGGGGCAGTCCTGAGTCCACTGCTGATCCACCCTGGGCCGAGGCCTGCTGTCTGCTGTCAGACTGATGTGAACCTCTGTGGCTCTGTCTTAGGTGGGGTCCACTACAGGTGCCCCCTCCTGGACAGAGGGCTGGACACTCCCAAGGGGCATGTTGAAAGCATCAACCTCAGTGTTACAGGGTGCCCCTTGATGAAGATGTGCTGCAGGAAGGTCCGCACATCTTGCACTAAGAGAAACAGCCGAACTTTTTCTGGGCAATGAACTAATTTTTAGCTCATGGACACTGGGAATGGCATAACTGGCCTAATTTCCCTTTTTGCTCTGGCTCCTAGGAAACTCAAGAGTCTGATGCATGCCCTGCATCTAGCAAATACAGAATTTCTGAGTCTTCATGTCATCCTTGGTTTTGTGCCATTGCTTCAGCTTGTTTGTTTGGTTTTATTTAATTGAGATATAATTCACATACCATAAAATTTACTGTCTTAAAGCATATAATCCAGTGGTTTTTAGTATACTCACCAGGTTGTGAAATCATCACCACCATCTAACTCTAGAACATTTTCATCACTCTAAAAAGAAACCCCATACCCACTAGCAGTCACACCTCACTCCTCTCCTGTGTCCACAGTAATCTACGTTCTGTTTCTATGGATTTCCAGTCTGTTTTAAATTCTTTATCCTGACATTACTGCTGACTATATTCTATTGCAAAGAGGTCCTTTTTGAAATGAAAAACATCAGACAGAAATGAAAACATATCCATAATCCACGAATGGGAAGACTGCTGTCTTAACTTCTTCAATTCTCACCTCCAAAATGGCTCTTGCTACAATGATTGATGGCTTCCAGGTTGCCAAGCTCAGTAGATATTTGCCCTCTTTTGGCAAAATCCAACACAAATGATCACTCTCCCCTCCTTAAAACCCTCTCTTCTGTGTCCGTGATGCCTCACTTTCCTGTTTTCCCCTTTCTGGCCCTTGGCCACTCCTCCCCTTCCTGGACTTGGCCTCTAAACATGGAGCTCCTTGGACTTCTGCACAGGTCTTCTTTCTGCCCCCTTCATATTCCCAGGGGTGTCTCCTCTACCCCCATGGTCTAATTTTTGGTCCAATCCAGACACCTCTCCTGAACAGCAGACTTGTATCTTTGCTCACTCCTCAAACTCAACACATCCAAAGGGAACTCATCATCTCTTCCCTTCTAATTTCCTGCCTTGGTGAGGGCACTGCCCCTTCTCTCTGGCTGACAGTCTGAGTGTCCACCTGCCCCTGGCAAGTCCGGTGCTCCCAACTCCTTGCCCTGGTCACGGTGACAGGTCCAGGTAATCCAGACCTAAGCCAATGAGCACGTGGTATTTTTATGCCTTGGGACTGGGTAAAGAATGAACATGTGACTCACTGGTGACCAATGAGAAACAAGGGGAAGGCTCAGGGAATTCTGGGAAATAAGCTGTCTGGCTCTTTGGAGAAAGCCTAGGGGGAAAGCCAGCTTTCTCCTTTTCTTCTGGGAAGTGCGGATGGGGTGTCTGGACCTGCTGTGGCCATTCTGCTAGCAAGCAGGAAGATGCTGAGATGATGTGGACACTGTGGAAAGACATCAAGGACATCCCTGAGCTGCTGGATCCAGCTGAGCCTGAAGGCCACCCTACTGCTGGATTTCCTGTGCTATGAGCAATGGCTAATTGTACTGTGCAAAGAAAGCTGCATGAATCTCTGTCCCACCCTACGTCTTCCTCTTACAGTGTAATATCAACATCCCCTAAAGAGAATGGGGTCTATCCCCTCCTCTAGCACTTGGGTGGGATTCTGTAACTGCCTCGACCAGTAGAGTACAGCAGAGGGAACACTGCAGACCTCTGAGGCTGGGTCATGAAAGGCAACACAGCGTTACCTTGGCTCTCTCTCCCAGGACACTCCAGGGCCCTGACCAACAAGCAGGAAATCCAGCTTCTGTGGGGTGTTGGAAAGCCCACGTGGAGGGGTCACATAGAAACTGAGCAAGATGCCCGAGGGGCCCAGCTGCTCCAGCACCAGCTGTTTCCCCAGCCCAGGTGTCAGACATGTAAATAAGGATGCCGTCCAGATGACCCCCACATCAGCCACCTTCTGCAACCCTGGGACCGACCCTGAGTGAGAGCTGCCCAGATGAGCTTGCTCCCAAATTCCTGACTCACTGACACCATCAGAGATAATAAATGGTCATGGTTACTTTAGATAACCACATTTTGAAATGATCTGTTCTGCAGTCACAGTAACCGAATTATGAGACAATTAACCCCCTTAATTGTTGAAGCCAGTTTGAGATTGTTTTTGTTACTTGAGACCAAAAAAGCATGTTAACTAATACAGCTTGCTTTCTGTAAGCCAGGACGAAACTGGACGCCTCCCTTCCTTCTGCTGCCCCTGTCAGTTCAGCACCAGCCATTCTCCCCTGAAGCACATCCTGACTCCATCCAGTTTCCTCCAGCATCCCGGCCAGGGCCTGCCCAAGCCATCATCACTCTCACCTAAACTACTGCTCCTGCCTCTGAGCTGGTCTCCCAGCATCCACTCCCACCCTCCCACAGCCACTCACTTTCCTCACAGCAGCCAGGAAGACACTTTAAAAGTGCAAAGCTACTCCATTTCCTTCAATCCTCCCACCAAATACAAACCCAACACCATGGTTCCCTCCAAGGCCCTGGACAACTGGGTCTGTCTCCTGGCCAGCTCCTCAGGGTCCTCCTCTCCTCTAGTGTCTGCCCTCATGCTTCAGCTTTTGGCTCCCTCTTAGGACAAGCCTCAGGGCCTTTGCACATGCAATGACAGCAGCCAGAATGCCCTTCCTTCACACTCTGCTTGAGTAACTTCTTACCCATTGTTCAGTTCTTTCTTCAGAGAGCCCTTCCCTGGCCCCCAATCTAAGATAAGCTATTTTTTCTTGAGCAGCCTGCTCTTTTCCTGCCTAATCGTGGAACAGTGCCTCCATGTTACTGGATTCTAGGTATAGTTGTTTGATGTCAGTCTCACATCACTGGTCTACAGGGCTCACGAGGGCAGGGACTGTGTGTATTTCTCACTGCTGTATCCTCAGGGCCTTGAGAACATAGTCAGTGCTCAAGAAATATTTGTAGGCAGGTGAGAGACAGTCACAGCCTGAACTGGGACGCTCCTGCCTCTCTTCCCGCCCTAGCCAGACTTCCCTCCCTCCCAGGCACCCCGGGCCTCACCGTATTTCTTATTGAACAGATCCTGGACTTGTTCCCTCAGCGTGTTGGCGATGTCGATCCGCGAGAGTCTGGCGTCGTAATTTTCTGCAGTGAAAAACAATTATGGATTTGGGCTGTTAAATGAAGACACTTGGCGACTTTTAAGGAATATGATTTTCTAATTAGAGGGAACTCTTTCTCAGGCAATTATCCGATCCTTGGAGCAGACCCCTCAGAGTCCTCCAGCACTAACATCTTGATGGAGATGTGTGATTTTCCCAGAAGGACTCACACTGTTGCGACAACAGTGATTGAGTCGGAGATTAAGTTAATTGTTGACATTTGAAAACCACACCAACAAGCAAGCCCTGGAGAGCAGACACCATGAAGGGGGGCTGGCTTCCTGCACCGCCTGCACCACGGCAGGTGGAGGGGGCCTCCGTCAGGGTCAGTGGGGAGGTGGGAGGCCAAGGAGGCACGAGAGCTAAGCCGACCAGGCGGCCCCCATGGAGGCAAGGAACTAGCCCAGCAGTTCCCAATGGTCACTGACTCACCAGAAGGTATTTGTTAAGGAGCCCAGGTGTCAGCACCTGCCATGAGGCCCCTGACCTTTGGGAGATTAGAGCCTGGCACCGCCTTTTGGGAAGACAGAGGTGAGGAGGAGGGGGGAAGGGAGGGGATGGCTCTCTGAGCTGCTGGACCCCAGTCTGCTAAGAGGACTGGGTATGAGGAACTACAGGGTGAGTGGGGAAATGTGAACTCCCCCATCACAGAAAGTTCCAGCTGCGCAGGAAGGAGTGAGAGGCTAGGCACTGAGCAGGTGCCCCTCCGGATTTGGGTCCTAGCTCCCTGGACTCCTCCACCCCCAGGGGCTGGCCACTGGTCTCTTGATCCCACCTTCTCCTTGGAGTCACAGTGATCACCCAGGGCCTACCTGGGGAACACCCACACTTGGGGACTCACAGCCACACCCCAGAGCTGCCCCAGTGTGCACATGGATGGCTGTTCTCAGCCACCGCAGCCCCCACTGATGCTTCACTTGATCTTAACTCAAAGGCCAAGAAGCGATACCAGCCAGCACTGTCGGGAGAGATGGAGCCTCCCCCATCAGACTCTGGCCCCTTCCTGCTTCTGTTTCTCTCGTACAGCTCCCTCATTCTTTCACTCAAGCTTTCCCCATCATCTTCCATGCCTCTCCCACCACACTCATCCTTCCACCCTTCCTGGGTGGGAAGCCACACTCTCCTTTCTCGGAGAGCCCTCCTTGCCCTCGGTGGCCTCTTCTCCTCCAATTTCAAAGCCCTAAGGGCACAGCTGACTGCCTAACACAAAGCGGGCAGGTCAGCTGCCTCCCCAGACGGACAGCGGGCCAGCCCTCGTGTCCTGTACCTGCAGTCCCCAGAACCCCCAGCCACCCTGTGGAACCCCTCACTCAGAGCTGGCAAACTACAGCCCTGCCTGACTGCCCGTCAGCCTTGCTCAGACCCTGGGGCCCTGAGGTTGGCAGCCAGCCCCTCCCACCCAAGCCAGGTCAAGGTCATGGCACTGGGACAGCGGACCCCATCCTGAGCTGCAACCTTACCTTGAAAGCCCTGTCTCTTCAGGCTCTCGTCCACAAGAGGGTCCCCGGAATCCCTCTCTGGGGGCGGGGGGAGAGAAGCCAGGGTGAGCAGGCAGCTCCTGGGACCCAGGACAGAGGTGGTATCTGGTGGGGGCAAACCCGGCAGGGAGGGTGGAGGGGAATGCCGAGGGAGACGGGACCAGGTTGGAAGAAGCAGGAGGAGGGGTGATGGCAGAAGCCTGGGACCCCTCCCATGTCCAACCCGCGCCTCGGCCCATGACCCTGTGCAGGGTACCTTGGCTGTCCGTGAGGGGCTCTTTGACTCCTTCGGTAAGCAGCTCAGGCCTGCAAAACACAAGTGGGCTAATCACCAAGGTCTCTCCAGGCCTCCCCAGTACTGCCCAGTTCTCCTCTGGGCCTCAGTCTGCACATCTGTGTAATGGGCACTCCCGGCTCCAGATAGTCCAGGTCTGGGGTCCCTGTCCCCCAGCAGCTGTCCTGCTGACCCATGTGTGAGATCTGAGGGCTGTGGTGCGCTCTAAGGATCCAGCCGGGAGTGAGATCAGCCTGGTTCTGGCCCAATGGAGCTAACACCTCACTCTGGGTTCCAGGATGCTGTGGAACTGCCACCAGCCCGGGTCAGACCACGTGGTCCAGGGGACTTCCCAGCAGGCTGGTGTGAAGCGTGAAAGCAGTTGGGGCCGACTATGTGGGGAGATCTCGTGGGGAACGTCTGAGGCTTCTGGCTGACACCATTTCACGTTGGAGTCAGGGGCCTTGGGTTTTTTTTTTAAATTGAAGTGTAGTTGATTTACAACATTGTGTTAGCTTCAGGTGTATACTGAAGTGATTTGTTTATACATATATATGTATTTATCTACATTCTTTTTTTGATTCCTTCCCATCACAGCTGTAATATTACAAGATACTGAATACAGTACCCTGTGCTATGCAGTCAATCCTTGTTGCTTATTATTTTATATACAGTAATGCACATCTGTTCGTCCCATACTCCCAATTTATCCCTCCTCCTCCATTCTCTTCAGTAACCATAAGTTTGTTTTCTATGTCTGTCTGTTTTGTTTTGTAAATAAGTTCATTTGTACTATTTTTTAAGATTCCACATACAAGTGACACCATGTAGTATCTGTCTGTCTCAGTCTGACTTACTTTACTTAGTGCAATAGCCAAGAGTTTTTTAACTTCGGAAAATTTGATGACAGCAAGGGACCATCTCTCCAGAAGAATGCACAAAAGAATATGAAAAATTTGGATACTTGTTCAAGAATATTTTTTAATCAAAGGTTTAGAAAGTATGATTTGATTCTCTGCCAACTCTAATCAGCTGGCAGTGGCTGTCCGGAGCGTGGTCTAGAAGGATGTGGAAGTCAGGCTTAGGTGGAAAGAGCATCAATCGCTAGTGATATTCCCTCCGAGTGATGTTTTCTCACATACGTGAGAAATGGGCTGAACTGTCGCCTCACCAAATTTCATATGTTGAAGCCCTAAACCCCTAGAACACGACTATATTGAAAGATAAGACCTTTAAAGGGATGATTAAGTTAAAATGAGGACATTAGGGTGGGCCCTAATCGCATCTGACTGGTGTCCTCATAGAAACGAGATTAGGTCACACAGAGAGCACCCCCAGGGATGCGTGTGCACAGAGAAGAGACCACGTGAGGACTCAGCTCGAAGGCGCTGTCTGCAGGTCAAACAATGAGATCTCAGGGGGAAATAACCCTGCTAACACCTTGACCTTGAACTTCCAGCCTCCAGAACTGCACGAAATAAATTTCTATTGTTTAAGCCCCCAGTCTGCAGTACTTTGTTATGGCAGCCCTGGGAAACTGACACATACATGCATACACACACAAACACGTACTTTATTGCGATGTAATCCACGTGTCACAAAATTCACCCTTTTAAAGTATACCAATCAGTGGTGTTTAGTATGTTCACAAAGTTGTTTATGAGCCATACTTCTAATTCTAGAACATTTACATCACCTCAGAATGCATCCTTTTTTTAAAGTAAGATGAATGAGAAGTAGCTATTTTCCACTAATATTCCAGATAGTATTTTTGGCTAATTTTAAAAATGAGGAATAACAAAATAAATATACTCTAGTGCTCAATCTCTCTCCTCCAATTACCTCTTTTATAAAATCACCCAAACTAGTCTTTAATCCTATTACCTCAACTGTTCCCTGGACAAAGTTAATCACTCATTCCTACTTGAATCATTTTCTTCACTTGGCTTTCAGGGAACTGGAATCAGTTAAATTCACCTTTTAAAACTGATTATTTTCTTTAAAAAAAAAAAAAAAAAAAGAAGAACTCCTGATACAGAGACAACCACATGGATGAATCTCAAAAGCCGAGTGAAAGAAGCCAGACCCAGTAAGATGCACACTGTATGATTCCATTTCTGTGACATTCTGGAAAAGGCAAATGACAGAAAGTTGATCAGTGGTGGCCAGGGGCTGGGGCAACCAACAAAGGGGCACAAGGGAAGCTTTTGGGGGTGATGGAACTATTTTATAACTTGATGGTGATGTGACCATATGAGTTTGCCAAAAATCAAAGAGCTGTACATTTAAAAAGGGCAAATTTTGCTGAATATAAATTAAACTTCAATAAACCTGGCATAAAGAAAAACAAAACCCATCCTGACTGAGTATGTACGGTGTGCCAGGCCCTTTGCTAAGCCTTGACCTCCACGGTCACCCCATAAATGGTACAGTGTGTCCCGTTCATCACCCCGAGCAAACTGCCCAAGGTCACGGGGAGTCACAGGAGGAGCTGGACTCAGACCCAGGAGACTGTGAGCCACCCGAGTGCTTCTGGTTCGAGGGGACGGACCAGGGAAGCAGTCCCCATGTGTTACGTCCCTCCTGAATGTTGACAGTTCCTCACGTTCTGTCCCCACCATGACCTCAGCATCGGGTCTGTTGAGGCCTGTAATCCACCTGCCATCCCTCCCTGGAAGGCCCCTGAGCACCTCAAAGAAAACACAGGCCAGACCCAACTCTTGCCTGCAGCCTCTACCCACATCATCTGCATCTCAAAAGAGGGTATCATGGCCATCACAGCTGCTCAGCCCCCAACCTTGAGTTATTCAGGCCTCCCACATCCCACGTATCAGCAAATTCTACCAGCCCCATCTTCAAAACATTGTCTGAATCTGACAACTTTTCACCAGCCCACCCCTACCTTTACCAAGGCCAAGATGCTACTGTGTCCCCTGAGAGGGGTACAGCCTCCTCGCTGGTCTGTTTCTGTCCCTGCCCACCTTCATCAAAACCTTCTAGTGGGTTCTCATTAAGTCTGAAATAAAATCCAAACTCTTTAAACTGGCCAAGACCCTGTACGATCTGGCTCCTGCTATCTCTTGGGCCTCGTCACTCACAAACCTTCGCTCACCCTGCATCAGCCACACTGGTCCCTTGCTAGTCTTCAAACACACAAGTATGTCCCTGCCTCAGGGCCTTTGCACCTGCTGTTCCCTCTGCTTCAATGCTCGTCCACCAGATAGCCACAAAGCTTGTTTCATTAGGTCTCTGTTCCACTGCCCCCTCCATAGACAGGGTTCTCCTGCCCCTCTTTGTCCCTTTAACCTTCATTATAGCATTTATCCCTACTTGATATTTTATTGTGATTTTATTTGGTGAGGTCAGCCAACTCAAGGGCAGGACTCAGTGCCATTTGCTGCTGCACCACTCCTGGCACACAGTGGGCACTCAAGATGTATTTGTGGAAGGAAGGAACCACATATCCACTGTTTGCATTTCCTGGAGCATCAGCCCCCCTCTTCTCCTGGTGCAAACCAGGTCCCATGAGAGAGCTCCCTGCCCCGTACCCCATCACCAGCCTGCTGTCACTCTAGGCGTGAAAGATACTGTGAGTCTACCAATTTGGGAGTCACCTACTCCCCCAGGGAGAACAAATCCTCTTTCTCATCACTTTTAACCAAGCCAAGCCTAAATCTACAAGACATCACAGTAATACACAGAAGCAACAAACACAAAACAGGTCACCCCAGGTCTTCCTTCATCTTTAAAAAAAATTTAGTAGCTGCCTTAATCTCCCCCAGAGGGACTTTATACCTGAGTGGGGCACACAGGTTGGATACAGCAGAGCTCCCTGGAACCTCACTGATAAAAATCAGATGCCCAAGGAAACGAAAGAGACCCAAAATGTCACCACCTCCTGTTTTCCAATCCTGGGATAATGGGGCATCTTCCTTGGCTTAGCTGCCCCCTGGCCCAGGACACCAACACACCTGCCCAGAGATCAAGCTGGCAGGCATATTCCCATTTTACATCCTGGCAAACTGGGGACTGCTCTCCTGAGACTGAGGGCATCAATCTGGTTGCTTTGGGTCTGGCAGACCTGGGCAACCTTGTGTCTGTCCAACTGGGTCCAAACCCCATCTCATGCCCTGCCGTTTGAAAAAAAAAAAGCCTTCCCCAATCGAAAGAAGAAGAGGGCTCCCTGGCACTGCTCCTGAGTGCCGGCCAAGCCCAGAGGGGCTCCCGTGGACCCAGTCAGGCCTCACCTCTTGATGACAAACTGGATGCTGTTGCTGGCCTCCAGGATCTTCCGGAGCTTGGCGATCCCGAAGCAGTTGGGCCTGCGGAGGGAGATGCCTTCAGGCAGCCCCACCACAAACAGCTCCTCTGGGTACATCAGGAACTTGGAGTAGGGCACCTTGACAGGCTCCGAGATGCCAATGGCCTTGGCTGCAGAGACACAGCTGCTGTAGGGCCACCCAGACCTAAGGTGCCACGACCCTCGACTCCCACCCACCATGTGTGCATGGGGGCCGCAGGTGCTGGAGCTCTTCTGTAAGTGCCGTCAGCCCCGGTCTGTGGGTGAGAGACTCAGAGCCCACACGGGACGTGATCTGTCCCCTGGTGGTGCAGGAGAAACCACTGAGGGCTGGTGAGACCCGGCATCAGCTCCACCCAAGCCCACTTGTCCCTGCGCTGCCAGAAAGGCCCTCCAGAGGGTCCCTGCCACACCCCTGCATGGCCCAATACCACGCTGTGGGGACAGCAGATCTGATGCCCAGGCCAGGTACTGCTACTCACTAGCCATGGGGCCTCAGATAAGCCATGTCACGTCCCTAGGCCTCATTTTCCTTGTCTGTAAAATGGGCTCTAGGACACAGGATTTTGTGAGATGGGATAGGAGAACTTGAGTGAGGTATCTCGCTAGGGCCTGGCCAACTACAGGGGCTTAATGAAGAGCAGGCTTCCCCCTGCCTCCTCATCCTCTTCGCTGGTCTTTCTGGCAGGAAAGAGCTTATGTGCGTCCTCCAGAGGACCCTGAAGGAGGGGGTCAGTGGGGACAGAGGGGCAGTTACAGCAGACAGAGTGGCCTCTCCAGGCTGAGGCTGAGGCAGACTGTGAGTGTAAGCATGTTGATGGAAAAGGCAGGGGTGCTGTGTTTCAGAGAGTGGGGTTCTCTGGCAAAGCCTCAGTCTCCCTGGGTGGGATGCCGGGAGCTGATGAAGTGCCTGGGCAGCAGTCCCTGTAGGGCCCCAGCCCCTCCAGCCCCTCCCTTCCCTCTGCCTGTTCAGGGAGCGGCTGGGATGGATTGGGGGGGAGGGGCGGTTGGGCCCAAAGTCCCTCTGAAAACAGGGCAACTGGAGGAAGGGCCAGGATGCCCCTTATCCTGGCAGGCTCCTTGCTCACCGTATCGCGTGTTGAAGAGCAGCTCCACCTGCTTCCGCAGAGGCCGGATTACGTCGCCATGACTGTCTGGAAGGCAAAAGGAAGTTTGCTGAGCCTCCCCAGGGACCGCAGGACCCCGCTTCTCAGCTCATGTCCCAGCTCTGCTGGTACCAAGAATGGCCCTGCACTGGGACCTTGGGATAGGGAGGGGGTGGTGGTGGCAGGTCACCTATTTCCTCAGAAGTGGCACCTTCCCAAACAGGGCCACAACTCCTGGGCTCAAATACCTGCTTGTGAAATTGGGTCTAGGGCATCATCAGGCCTTAATGGGAGGTTCTGAAGCCTAAGAATGACCAGGACCATGCGCCTTTCTACATGAATGACACTCTAGGCCAGCACAGTAAGTGACTTAACTAGTGAGTGAATACTAAGCCTGCAAATTAAGTACGCAGCCACCAGGTGGCAGTGGATATGTTAAAACAGTTCCCCCATCACAAGGCTCAGGAAGACAAGGTTCAGACCTCAGTCTTAAAACCTTTGTGACAAGCAGCAGGGTGTATATAAACACAAAAAAAGGAAACCCTGCAACTTTCCCTACAAGAAAGAGCTGCTTGGACCTCTGACCACATATCTCCTAGTTCAAGAAGACAGGTCTATAAACCTCCTCCCAACTCAGGCTGCCCACAGGACTCCCACCCCCAAAGTGGGTGTTGGGGAGACTAAAGGGAGATGAAGGGCAAGGGAGGGGCGAGACATGGGTGTTGGGGTGAAATGTGGCAGGTGGACAGTGCCTCACCCTCCACGGGCCTCTCCTCGGGCCGCGGGTCCTCGCTGGGGCCTTTGTCTGAAAGAGAAGAGGAAACCAGGAAGCCACGTTCATCATCTTCTGCATCCCCAAAGTCAGGTCAGACCCAGACTCTGAAGCAGAGCGTAGTGCCCACCAGATAAGATCAGGGACCACAGTTTTGTACAGGCACCAGCCCTTGCCTCCAGGTGGAGGGCAGCTTCAGAGACCAGGCAACCTGTGACATGCGGCCTGCACCCCCTGGGAACCCACCCTGCGCCTGCCTGTCCTTCCTTGGCGTGTGAAGTTCTGTTCGAGGCACTGAGGACACATGGCAGCAAGACAAAGCCTTGTCCTCCTGGGGTGACGTCAGACATAACACATGAAGCCAGATGGCGGTGATGTCACAAAGGAAAACGGAGTCGGATAAAGAGATAAGGGAATGGCAGGTCGGAGGGCATGGAGGAATCCAGGGGCCTCTGACGAGGTGACACTGGCCCTGATCTGGGCCCAAAGGACCCAACTTTGTCCAACTTGTCCAGATGCTCGTCCAACAGGCAGCAAAGATGCGGTGTAGTGCAGGGCAGGTGAGGGCTCAGGCTACACGAGGGTAGGTGAGACTGCCTTTGGAGGGGCTAAGGAGGGGAACACCTGGGCTGAATCAATGTAGGGAGGGTGGCGGCAAACTCAGGGATGACAGGTTTCCACAAATGGATGAAATACAAGGGCGGACAGTGGGGTGAATGGGGTGGGGCCCAGGCTCGACTGGCGGGCTGCAGGGCCCCCATCTGCAGTGGCTCTTTTGTGGCAGCGCTGGAGGGAGGCACAGGGACTTTCAACACTTGAAACAACCAGAAGGGAGCTGCGCCTTAGGAAGCTTGCCGGCGCCATGTACTGCCAGGTGCTTTCGTATGCAGAGCTAACTCTTTTCTCCTTTTATTTTAGGGCTAACCCTTAAATGGCCCCTTTCAGCCCATGACATGAAGCTGAGCTGGTGAGTGCTGGAGCAGGTGGAGCCCAGGTCTATTCCCCCGCCAGCTGGTGAAGAGGATGCTCAGTGATGAGGGATGCAGGGTGCTGGTCCAGAGCAGATCGGGGGCTGGAGGGCAAGGGGCTGATCCTGGCAGTCATCAAAGGTCAAGGCCCACTCACTGGTGGAGGGAAGGTGAACCTGCATCTGGGATCACCAGACAAGCCTGAGCCTTGGGGGTCAGTCTGGAGGAGCCGGAAGGTTCTGGAAGGTTTCATCTATGCTCAGCCTCTGACTTAAAAGGGTGGAAGGCCAGGCCTGAGCTGTTGGTCTAAACTTTCCTCAGGGAAGTGCGCCCACCTGACTCTGCCTGGAGGCTTTATTCCGGCTGTGGGAGAAGAAGTGGCCAAGTATGAGGGCTGAGATCAAAGCCTTGGGAACAGCTCTCCGCCAGGGTGGAGGGTGATCGGGAGGATCACCAGCCCAGCTCCCAGCTCACTCAGCTGCGTTAACTCAGGTGGGTGACTGACACGCGCTCCCGAGGCCCCTCAGCTCAGCTGCCTGAAGGGGTGACAGGCCTGGTGACAGCTGTCTCATCCAGGCCCACTTCTCACCCCATACTGCCGTTCCCGGGCTCTCCTCCCAAATGAACAAGTGCTCCTGTCTCCAGGGCAGCTCCCGGGGGATCCCAAATGAACAGAGTGCATTTTTGCCATTTCTAGACAGAGAGGGGAGCGGACAGGAGGAGAGGAGTCCGGTGGGGACAGAGCTGGGCAAGCAGGGCCACCAGGGAGGGTTTCCCTGGGCAGGGGCTTGTGACAAGGAATCAGGAAGCTGGGGGTGGCACTGCACACCTCTAGGGAGCCAGGCCGGAGACGACCAGACCCAGCCACCCACAGGGAACCAACTCAAGTCTGCAGTGTTGCGAAGTAGGAGCCACTAAGGAGAGACTTCTGCCACCCTTGTAGGGTCAGCCCGAAACAGAAGGAAGCAGGGCTGGGTTCTCTCCCGGGATAGGGGTGCTTTCAAAAGCAGCAGATGGCCTGTGTACTTTGGGGGCCCAAATTCCAAGCATGGGGAGCTCGCCTGACTCTCCCCGCAGGCATGCGCTACGGACCCTGAAGGAAACTGTCCAGGTGCTCACTGCTTTCCCGTGCTCAACCGTCGTAATAAATAATGACCAAGGACAAGTCAACAGGACTGGAGACGTTCCAGGCACCAGGTGAGCAAACGAGGGACAATTTGTGCAAAGTAGTAACAACACACATTGCTAGCACTCATAAAAAACACAAGTGTGTGAAAAAAAAAACACAGGAAGTATGGACGCTAAACTAGTAGGTGCCCGAGGCGGGGGCACTGGGAGCTCTTCCTTTATGGGATACATAGTTTTGTATCATTTATTTTACAAGGCACATGTGTAATCAGAAATGGCTCATCCATGGACACTCTCTCCCCTCTAATCCATGGTGGTCCTGAAAACTTCAGAACTTCCATAATCCATCAGTTTTGAGTGGGGGCCTTGAAAAGAGTCCTAGACGGGGCATCAGTAAACCGGGGTCTCAGCCCAAGGCTGGGCGACCTTGGAAAGGTGGACTGGCCTTGCCGGGTCTGTTTCCTGATCTTGCAAACCAGCGCGGAGAAGCCTTTCTAATAGAAGTGGTGCCATGCTCGCCCATGGCCCCTCAACTCCCAGTCTCCAGATTGGGACCTCCTTTGTCTTCTTAATACTGCTGTGAATGCAGCCAGGTGACATGGGACCTCTTCGCAGCCAGGCCACACTGTCAGCTCATCCTGCTCCTCTGGTCCACTTAAACCCCCCACGTAGGCTCGCCACCATTGTTGCCAATTCCAGTCACGTCCAGCCCATGCCTGACAATATTCTTTCTTCATTATCAAGGTATTAAAAGCACATCACACTGATTTAGGGAATGAAAAAGATAACTCACTTAGCCTGACATAGCTACTTTTTTGATATTTTTTTTTCTCTTAACCAGTGATTATGTTTTTAACATGGTTGCAAACACAATCAGTTTTGTGTCTTTTACATTCTCCCTTTTGGCCTATTTTTGTGGCTGCATAATAGTCCATCAGGAGGATCCCTTAATGGTTCCCTGACAGCTGGACCCACTCATTCCAATTTTTCATGGTCACTGTTAACATTGCCATGAACATCTCTGTGCAGAAAACACTGTCCACATTTCAGACAATGTCCTAGGACTGGGTTCCTGGAAGTACCGGGCTGGGGGTGCTCATTTTTATTGGCTCTTTAAGTTGACCCATTTCTCTAAAAGGCAATTTGCCAATTCACATTCTGACCATCACCATGTCTGTGCCCATTTCCCCATGTGCTCAGCAAAAGTTCTCTCCAATTAAAAGGTGCAAGAGATTCACACTGTTCAATCCCTCGTTTCTATGTGGCTGCAAGTGTCTGTTTACCATCTCCTGTTTTGTGCGATCATCCATTCGTGCCGTGGCAGACACTGGGATGTACTTACTACCCAGATCCCTTCCAAGGAAAAGCTTGTTGCCTTAACAGCAGGGAGTGTTGTCAGCAGGCAGCTCGGGGCAGCTGCCCTTCGAGGACTGCTCTCCTGGGGTGGCCACAACTCGTGACTGATTGAGAGGTGGGGGTGTAAAGACCAGGATATCCAGTTCAGGGGGTATAAAAGTCAAGATATCAAGTGGGAACAACTCCAACTTGTTCCCATGGGGTTGGCAGAGGGTGTTGCTGCAGCCAGATCATAGTTTAACTTCTCCCTTTTCCCCCTCGTGCTTCCCCCTCCCTTACATGGGTGTTGATCCCAACGGCAGCCCTTAATAAACACCCCACACATTAAACTCCATCTCAGAGACTGCTCCCCAGGGAATGCAACCCCTGACACACGTCCTGAGGCTGTGAAATCTCCTTGTGCATTTCAGCCCAGTGTTCCGGTCCATCAAGGCCATGGAGAACATCATTCTTGGATGGACTGAGCATTTCTTTCCCAGGATCTGCAAAACTGCATAATCTCGTTGCCTGAGGTCCCTTTATCCAACTAATCAATAAGCATTCAAGGAAGGACTGAGCCATCCAGGACAACACAGGAAACCTTCCCCACGTGGAGGCTGGGGTCTCCCAGGGTCAGCCCAAGATCTTGATGTTGTACGAGCCGACTCACTGCTACGGATGACCCACACTGGGGTCTAACGGCTCACAGTCATCCATGCAGAAATCTGTTCCAGAACCGTGCGTGGGCCTAAGGCACAGTCTACCTGTTTGCAATTTGAGCAAACCCTCATCTCCAAGTCTCTTTTCCGTGGTCAGCTCATCTTTGTCCACTGTGACTTCTCTGTCCTGTGGACGGTGGACCTTAGGTGTCATCTGTCTGAAATTAGACGCATCAGAAGCTGTAGATCGCATTTATCCACAGCAGCAACACAGACCCTTTCTATCTCCCTCCTTACTGAACTGGACTCCCAGGTCCTCCTTACTCTTTCCTGTTTCCAGATCATTCTCCTTGACAGAGAAGCCGGAAGCAGATGAGGGGCAGAGACGTTCTGCCTTTATTCTGTTAGCAGTGAACATGGCACCACCCATCTGGGCCTGAAGAGAGCCTTCCTATTTATTTTTCCAGTCATCTGCTTATTTTTGGTTGGGGAAAAAATAAAAAGTGCAATAAAGCACACAGAATATTATAACAAACACTCATGGACCCACCAGCCGGAAGGAATATATGTTAGCATTTTGCCATATTTGCACCTGATTTAAAAAAAAACAGAACATTAGCCATACTATCTTTACGTTTCCAAATTTAGAGGAATGCTATATCGTCCATATCCTTCTGCACTTGCTTTTCACACTGAACATTACATTCTGAGATCCCTTGACACTGGTCTTTAAAAACGCCTACTACGCTTCTGCACCGTATCATTAAGCAATACCCACCCTTCTTCCCTCCAATCAAGCCCTCAGCAGACATCACACGCAAGGGAAAAAAACTGCCCTGGCCCTGCATGTCTTATTGCAGCGCTTTCCAAACTCAAATCATTTAAGTACTAATAATATCATTCCGTCATATCCACAAACCTTCTATATTGTAATTTACATACAACCTATCTTTATAATGACTCACTTTTCAAAAAACGTTAACTACGTATAATGATTCTTACTTCTTATCTATAACAACGTATGTTGATAATGCCTGGAGCTGGGGTGGGCGTGTGAGGTTCATGAAACTATTCTTTTCGACATGGTGTGGTTTTAAACATTTCCAAAATGTAGTTTAAAAAACAAAACACATAGAACCCCACATCCTCCCTGCTGTTATATACCTGCTAACCACTCCTCTTGCCTAAATTATTCTCGAGTCTGTTTCTGTCTTTATCCCCTGCCCTCTGCAATCTGTTTTCCGGTCAGAGTTAATATAGTTAAGATGTCTCCCATTTGTGCCACCCCCGCCCCCACTGGTTCCTGTCTCCTTAGAGTCAACTCCCTAATCCTTCCTTTAATGTGTGTAACCCTGCATAACGCACCCCACCACCTCCCTTTCCCACTTCACTCTGCTCCAGCCACCCCGCTCCTCCTTGTTTTGGACACCCTGGGCATAGCCCACCTCAGGGCCTTTGTACATGCCGTGCCCTCTGCCTGGAAAGCTCTGTCCTGATATCCACACGGCTCCCGCCCACACCTCCTTCAGCTCTTTGCTCCAGTGTCACTTTCTTAGTGAGGTCCTCTCTGACCATTCAAATCCTATAATAACCGGCCCCTCCGGCGCCCGCCACCTCCCCTCCTGGCTTGGTGTCTCCTACAGTACTTACCACCATCTCACTTGCTGTTTTACTTATTGATTTGCTTACTGTCTGTCTCCCTGCACTGGGATGTTAGCCCACCAGGGCAGGGACTCTGGTCTGTTGGGTTCACTGCTCTGACCCCAGTACTTTCCATGGGACCTGGTACACAGCAGGTGCTCAATAAATAGTTGCTGAAAAAAATTAACAAATTTATCCAAACGGCAAGTCCTGGGAAAGACACAGTAACCATACAGAATAGAACTCAAAGCCTATTTCAAGTTTTCAGAAAGGAAGTCAATCTGAGTAGGGGAGTCAGGCATACACTGGGTTTTCTCTGAGCAGGGCAGTCAATACTAAGAAAAGCCAGGGGGCTCCCAGGCCCACCCCTTAACCCATCACATCCCAGGGAGGTGGGTCCCCTGCCCGCTTCTTACCAGTCAGCATCTCCATCCCGTAACCAGAATCTTCTGAGGGCAGATGTCCGGGCATCGAGTCTGTCATTTCTTCGGAGGTCGGGGAAGGGTCTGGAGGCAAAGCTCCAAATGAGGAGAGCATCTTCTGTCCACCCCACCCCGTCACAGTGCGTCAGGGACCCCCAGCCCAGCACACCCCGGAGCAGGACCCTTAAGGAAGCAGCACCTTGGACTTCAGCAGGCAGCCTTAATGATGAGCTCTGCTAGAGGCCAGTAGGGGCCGGAGGGGCCTGGAGCCGTGTGGTTACCCCACATGGAGCCTCCAGAGGCCAAGCACACACCCCTCTTCAAAGAGGTGGAAACTGAGGCTCAGAGGGTTCCAGGTCTGGAGTCAAACTCAAAGCATCTTGCTCCAATGACCTTTCCTGCTCCCACCTCTGCCTCCCGAATCCCAGGGAAGCCAGGCCAGAGAAGTGAAGGCTAGGGGGAACTCTGGGAGGGTTGGGGCTGAGGCCTGATGCCCAGCACAGAGGGCAGACATGGCTGCAGAAAGCACATTTGAGGCCTCACTGCTTTCATGATCAGACCAGAGAAAGAGCGGCCTGGAGAGCCCTTCCTGGCCAGGGCAGCCCGGGAGGTGCCGTGGTGGCTGCGGCAGGCCCAGGGGTCCTGCTTCGGGAGCTGCTGGATCTCTGCATGTTCAGGCAGGGGCAGCGGGGGCAGCCCTTACCTGGGACGGTGACCTGAATGATATCCAGATCCTCTGGCTCGATTTTGATGGGCCTCAGCCCACCCAGCTCCCCAGAGGTTCCTGTGAGGGGAAACAAGGGATCTGATCAGGTGTGGACGTGAGCTTGTCCGGGCAGAGTGAGTCATTCCAGAACATTCTCCTGTCTGTGACTTGTCAGTAGCACCAGGAAAAGTCATGTCAGCCCTGGTGTCTGGGCCATAGATACAATGTACAGACCTAGCAACTGAGGCCCACATTGCCAAGGACACATGAGGAGGCAGTGGTGATACCAGAATCCAGGTCTCCTAACTCCCCTATAAAGCCACCCACATCCCACCTGCCCCTCCCAGGCCTCCAGTGAGCTCCCAGCATGCTCTGCACCTCCCAGTACAATCTGCGGCCGGTGGGGGTGGGGAACGGGGTGGGCAGAGGAAATTCCTTAGTACTCCAGGCTCAGATCATGATCCGAGCCTGCCTCCTCCCCCAGGCTGCGGGGCAGGGCTGCTGGAAGCCCTCCTGCCCCAGACACAGGCAGCGGGGTCCCGCTCCTCACCTGGCCCACAGTCTTCGGAGAGACTGCTCTTATCTGACCTGTGGGAAGAAGCCAAGAAATGACATGGCGCTAGCCCCAGCCGTGCCCCTCCAGGCAGTCAGAGGCCCATGGTGGCTGCCAGTTCAGACACACCCCTAACCACATTTGCTCCCATCTCCCCAGGATGCCTCCACGACTCCCCTGAGCAAGATTCCCGGTACAGCATCTTCCAGGACCGCAGTCTCCTGACTGCCCCAGCCAAGATCCCGCTCCCTCTCCTGGGGAGGACTTCTAGGCACCAGCCGTGCCCACCAGCTGGGAGCTCCTGAGGCCTGGGTCTTGCCAGCCTGGGAGCTCCATGACTTAGTACAGCAGGCGTTTGACCAGTGCTTGTTGTGGGGATTGAGAGCTGCAGGTACCACTAACCTTGAGGGGGTGAGCTGGTCTGGGAAGGGGGCTGGGGAGTGGGCTGGGCAGGACCCTGGGATGGATGGGTCAGTTCATTCACAGAACACTGTCAGGGGAGGCCTGGGCTTGACATGGAGATTCCAGGATAAACGACCCATCTCTGGTCCCCAGGAGCCCAGAGCCTGGGTTGGGGGCACTAGTGCACAGTGAACAGACTGTGAGCTGAGTGCAGGGTCTTGTGGATACACAGGGCAGATGCCTGACCTAGTCTGGGTGCCAGGAAAGGCTTCTGAGACTGGGTGCCACATGGCTACATCCCCAGGGGTGACAAATCCTCCAGGTGGAGAAAAATCGGCGGAGTCTCTGTTCTTCTGGGTCCCTTTACAGTCCTCCGCTCTACCAGCTGAGCTATCGAAGGGACTTTCGGGGTCCCTTTAGATTCTGCCTGGCCCACAGTGGGGAAAGGCACATGGGAGTCTGTGCGGGATGACCCTGTGCCTGTGCGGGGTATCCAGGTGGAGGGAGATGCAGGACACAGCATCCTCTGGCCAGCCTAGGCCTTGCTCCTCCCCGCAGGTAACACCACCTCAGCCCAGAGCTGGGGTAGAGCTGGGCCGTGGCCTTACCGAGCAGTCCCAGCCAAGTCCAGGACGGCAGCACGGGAGACCTCTGCAGAGGCGTCCTCTGGCGGGCTGGCTGGCTCCAGCTTCGTGGGATCTTTGGTAAACTTGTTCCCTGAGGGGAGAGCCGGGGAGGGACAGGGAGGTCGGGGTGAAGGCTCCCCAGCCTCCTCTTTCTGTCGGGCACCTGGCAAGGGACTCCGTGGGAAGCTCCTAGGGGCACCCCTCAGGTGTGGTCTGGCCTCTATGTTCAGCCAAGCCAGGAAGGGGGTCTTAGGAAGAGATGCCTCCCCTGGGACAAGGAATAAGGGTCCCAGTGCCAGAGGATGCCAGAGACCTGAGAGGACTGGGCAGGAGGAAGAAGCCAAAAATGACCATCCTGACCTCACGTACGCTACTGGGGATGAGAGAGCCCTTGAGAAAGGGGCCGAGTCTCCCCCAAGGCTGTACCAGGGGACTGTTCTCTCACTGAGTTATCCTAGGAATCCACAGGACGGTGCTCTTACCACCCCCATTTCACAGATGTGGAAACTGAGGCGCATATGATCCTGCTCAAGTTCACAAAGCTAGTGGGAGGTAGGGCCGGTATTGGGACCCACATATGTCCCGTTCCAAGATCTGTGCTGCCTTTGCTGCACTTGGCAGAGCCCATCTCTTCCTCCTGAGATGCGGGCTGCCTGCTGGTTACGGCCCTACGCTACGGTTACTTTGCTTTGCAGCCAGGCGCCAGCGCTCACTAGCTGGACTTCAGGGAAAAGAACAGAACTGACTTTATAGGACTGTTGAGAACTAAATTAAATTAAAATTAATATGCTAACAGCTTAGAAGAGTACCTATCACGTATCAGTATTCAGCAAACATTAGCTTTATTACTCCCTGTTCAGGGCACCCCAAGTCTGGAGGGGATGGTCTGACAGTCTGTCTATGCCGGAAGCTGGAGGCCCCGTGTCTGCTTTGAGATGCAGAAGCCACACCCAGGCTCCCTCCCCACCCTAGGGTGCGGTGTCCTCCCGGGGACATCAGCTTGGCAGCTTCACAATGGACTACATGGTACCCTCACATACCTGTGAAAATTCGCTCATCAAACATCCTGGGGAGAGAGGAGAGACAGGCGTGAGAGGGGAGCTGGCCTCCAGTCCCCACAGTGACGGTCACTTGAGTCCCACCTGCAGACCTGGGCACCGGGCTGGCCACACATTGGGGCAGGAGAGGGCACAGTCCAGAGCAGCCAAATAACCACAAAGAGCCAGATCCCGAAAACCATTTCTCCACAGCCAGGGAAGGAATCGGCTAGCCCCTGGGGGGTCCTGGAGTGTCCAACCTACCCATCATGATGTCCTGGGGGGCCTCTTCCAGCCCTCAGCTCTCCTGGGCCACAGCTGGTGGATGACACACCCCATTCCCACCAGGGTTCAGTAGGTTTTTACCCAACACCGCCTGTGTCTCAGCAACAAGCCCTGTTCCCAAGAAGTTTTCTCTATCGATGGCACAAGCCAAGCTTGTCCCAGATCGCAGCCACATAAGGTTGTATGTGGGACCCCGCATGTGTGTCTCAGGAGCCAAGGGGGCCCAGGCAGGTAGGGGTCTGGGGATGGTGAGCTCAGGTGGCACAGCAGACAGGTTCTCCAGGCAAAGGCCCAGGGGAGGGCTAGGCGTTCCACCTGGCCAGCTGGAGGTGTCTCGTGGGAGGTGACCAGCCTTCGGTGCGGTGCTCAGGCAGGTAGTCTCTAACCCATGGGCAATGGGGAGCCCCTGAGGGGCATGGCACCATCAGATCGCTCCATCAGCACACAGAGGATGGATCGGAGGCCAGAGGGCTGGAGGCTCAGGGGCCATTCAGGGACTCCTGAGGCATCCTGATAAGACACCTGGAATTCTTATTCTAGGAAAACGAGGATGGAGTAAAGGTTGGTGACGGGGCTGGGATCACCCAGCCGCCTACCTCCAGGGCTGGTGTCTCTCTGTGCTCCCAGCCCCCACCAGGGTGGCCCCCAGCAGCTGGTCTGTGGGGCCTGTGGCAGAGCCTGGGTGTCATGGAGCGGCTGGACAAGGGGACAGGGCTTAGGTCACTAAGCCCTTAAGTCACTAAATTCAGGCTGCAGAGGCAACAAGGGACAAATGAAGTCCGTTTGTCTGAGTTCATGACAAGGGGTCTGACGGTGCCCAAGGTGGGCCGAGCAGGAAACTCAAACAGAGGAAACAGGAGGCGACAGGAGGCAGAGAGTGGGTCACTGGGGTGGCGTGACCCCAAGCGTGATGTCCTGCTTTTATTCTGAGAGGCCCCGGTTCCCCTACTGCTCTATCTGGGTCCCCCAAGGCTGAGAAGCAGCCACGGGGAGTAATTCTGGGAAAAACCGGCTTCCTCTGCCCCTCCCTCTTCCACTAATAACAAGACCCATGGGCTTGTGGAGGGGCTTCCCTTTTTGGTAGAAAAGCACCCTGACCTCCCCCCACCCCACAGACACCTGGGCTGGGGCAGAAGCTCCACCTCCTGGCTGCTTCCTAAGTCCACTTTCCTCCCGACTCACTTCCACTAGGACGATCTCAAATGTCTTACTGGTGAGGCAGGGATGTGGAACAGCAGAAAATGCACCGGGAATCAGAACGGAGCAGCCTCTGTTCTAACACCTTCCTGACATCCATTTAGTCTCCAATCAGCACCGTGAGGCATGGACAATCATTAGTCTCATTTTATAGATGAGGAAAGTTAAGCACAGAGCAGTTATGTAACTTGCCCAAGGACACACAGCTGGGAACCGGCAGGGTCAGGACTGGAACCCAGGCTGTCAGCACTGAAGCACTTAACTACTCCTTCACATCCGAGGGAGACGAGGCCAAGGAAAAGGACTCGTGTTTACTGAGCATCTACTACATGTCAGGTGTGTTACATCCACCTCCACATTTTATGCTGAGAAAAACCTGAGGAGGGGTATTAATTATCATTGCCCTATTTTTAAAAACGAGGAAACTGAGGCTCAGAAGAGAAGTGCTCCTCCTGGTTCTGCCCTTTCAGCTACTGATTCTGGTTATCAACTCTAGTTATTCAAAGTTATATCATTCAGCGAGTGACTTCAAGCACACTCTGCCTGATGCCAAGCCTCCTCCTCCAGGAAGTCCTACAGGCTTACTGCTCAGGTGCCATTGAGTCTACACCTGGAAACTTGTTTTGATGCTCCCTGGACTCATCACAGGAGTAACCACCCCCCATGACTGGCAGTAGCCTCTGGGGGCAGGTGGGGACTGTGCTGTTTTGTTAAGTCCTCAGTAGAACCTAGTGAAGGGCTGGGACTGCAGGAAGTGCTCAGCAAATACTGGTGAAGAATTAAATGAGCTACAGTTTGGAGGGAGGGAGATAGGTCAGCCAGGTGAAGACTCAAATACCACAGTCAGGCATGTAAGGGGACACTGGGATGCCCCTGCTGTTTTCTGCTCCTCAAGCCCCCTACCTCCCTACCAAGAATCAACTGAAGGAAAAGGACTTAGGCAGCAACAGGAGAGATTTAAGCTAGACAACAGTAGGTACTGCCTGACAGAAGGGCAAATGATTTCAAATCACCTCCAGAAAGATTCTTTAAGTGGGACCCCTCAGTAGGGGTTGTGAGGGCATAAGACACAGCTCAGATGTGGTCCCACTGCCGCAAGTGACCAGCGTGACGAAGGGTGGGTGAGGGGTGCCGATGAGGGGAAGAAACCACCTGCTACCAGAGGGGGAAGCTCCTGAGTGAGGACAGGGGAGGGCTTCTAGACAGAAAAGTGAGCCTTGAAAGATGAAGACAGGTGGGAAGGAGGGTAGGGAGCAGTTCCAGGCAGAGGGAAGGGCTTCACAGCAAAGGCTTAGAGGCAGGTGAGGTGGCAGGATGTTAGCCAAGCAAGAGGGAAGGCAGAGTGGCATGAAAACAGGCAGAGTGGCCGCAGACAGGCCAGAGCCGTGGTATCCAGGGAGCCATGACACCAGGGCACAGTGAGAGCTAGGAAGACAGAGGAGAGCTGGGGAGTGATGAAGGGTTCTGAGTGGGAGTCCCCCATGGTCAGAGCTGACTTTCACAGTGAACTCCCTGGGTGGCAGCGAGATGCCCGCCCACCTCCCTGGCCACTCTCACCCTCCTCAGCTGGCGGCCCTCTTCATCCTCACCCCAGCCTCTCACACGGGGACCCCAGGTCCATCTGGACCCTTTTCTCTTCTCACCTCTATTTCTCTCCTGCCTTGTGATCCCTTCCTGGCCCACGCTGCCAACTCTCA